GATGGGTGGGGGTCCACGCCCGAGGCCGGGGCTGGCGTCCCCCGCAGTGAGAACTGGCCTGTGCACTCCTGTCAATTTCGTCCGTGCGCCCAGCCCTGACCCTGGGGGTGATGGGGTACGGGAGGTTAAGGGACACGCCCAGCCCGGAGGGAAAGGTCGCACGCGCGCAGGTCGTCTCTCTCCCAGCCAGTCTGCTGACGAATAACCCGACTTCCTCGGCTTTCTTTGCGCGAAGAGCAAGGGGGGCTTCCACCGCGCTGATTACAGTAGGTTTTAAAGGTTTGCAAAATAAACACAGAAGCCGCCTTTTGTCTCCTCCCACATTTGGGGGAGGGGAGAGGGAAATCGGACACGTTCTTTCCCGTGCAACAGGATCTCTGCTTGAGGGAAGGAACCGGGAAAGCTCTGCGAGGACACCCCGCACTTCCCAGGGAAAGTTCTATCCCTTCCCTGATTCTGGAGGCAGCGTCAGGGATGGTGCCCAATTAGCGAAGGAGAAGTGCAGGAAAGAAGGCTTGGAGCCGACTTTCCGCCTGAAAGGCAAAGATAAGAGTATTAAGCTTAAAAAAAAGAAAAAGAAAAACAGAGCCAGGCTTTTTTTCTTTTTCTTTTTCTTTTTCTTTTTTTCCCAAAATGTGTTCCCGCGGGACAAGGACTGATTCCAGAAGGGATATACGTACGCGCAGAGGCTGTTCATCCTTTCGTGAGAGACAGGCTGGGAAAGGTGCCAGGCCGGGTGGACGAGGCCAGGGAAAATGAGGTGCAGGGTGGGGGAGCTGATGAGCTTTTCGATTAAAAATCCATTTTTGTTTAATTCTGAGATCAGTTTTAACGATAGGATTTGACTGAGCCAAATGGCCCATTTGTCCATTATATCCGGATTAAAAGAAATAAATTACTGCCCGGACGAGAGATCCTAACCAAAGCAGAAAGGAGAGGGACGTTGAAAAGCGGACCAAATTAAGAAAAACAGTTGCAGGCAGGGTAAAAAACTCGTTAAGATTACTAAAGAGAGAAATGATACTGCAGACAACCCTTCCCCCTAACTCCGAAGCAACCTTGGAATGAGTGAGAATTGGTCTCTACATTGTCCATCAATGGATTCATATTGTAGCACAGATCTGCAAGGCCAGTGCCAAGTTTAAATAGAATTGCCTGGGTCGTTAATTTAGTCAGGCTGTTTATGGAATAAATCTGGAATAACACCAGTAAATTAAGATTTTTCAGGTGAGAGCAGCTTGACTCAGATGAGTTTCAGTTTTAGGACAAGTTGAAGTTTATCATAAGGTGAATACAGCCTGAAATGCTTCATGAAAGCATTCCTTACTGTGAGCTCCCAGGGGCCAAGCCAGGGTTGCATTTTTCTAAGTTTAGGCCACACTTTCTTCGGTTCTCAAAAAAACAAACAACAAAAAAAAACAACAACAAAAAACACTTAGTCTCCAAGCTATCATTTTTACAGTTAGAATAATTAACACAAAGAAACAGCATTAAGATTATTCAGAGGAATACTTGTTAAATGACTAATAAATCACCAAGTTTTTTCAGTATTTTACTAACATCGTATTCACAGGAAACTATGAAGGTGGGAGAAAGACCTCTATTTAAAGCAAAAATAGTCTCAAAAGAAAAGTGACTGTCAAAAATGGAAACAGAAGGTTATGTTACTAGAGTTGTAGGCACATCATGGAAACATAATGCAAAGATTCCACAGCATAAATAAATTAAATGCACTTAAAATCCACAGGCAAGTTTATCTATTTGAAAACCTTATCTGGGGGATTCTGTACAGTTGCAGAGGGGAAAGGAGTTTTGAAAGGGGTGTGTCGACTTGACTTGAAGAGAAAGCTAGAAGTTGACCTTAATAATGGTATAAGGTGGGACCTTATTTTGTGGGGGATAATGTTTTATCTTTCTGGCATCCCTTCACCCCCTTCTACCAGATCTGCTCTTTCTGCTAGAAGGTATATTCCACAAGAGCAAAAAGTTATGTCTAGGACATTGCTCTATTCTTAGCTTCTAGAACCCGGCTTGATACTTGCTTGCCATTGAATAGATTTTTGATGGATCAGCTAGTGAATGCGGAACCTCTTCTGGGCTTAACCCAGCCTGTGTCTGCTCATTGCCATTCTGCTGTCTATACATCAAAAAGCTTGCCTGAAAGACAGAAGAGTGGGAAAGAGGAGCCCTGGGGACATTATTTGAGTCCTGGATCCAGTAATGCCTGAAGGCCACTGCACAATTTTGCTTTTCTTTTTAATTAGATTCTCCATCCCATCCCTTTTTTTTGTTTTTGTTTAACTTATTTTGTGATGTGTTGATGTCATTTGTGACTGAAAGTCCTAGTTCATATAATGATGGTAATAATAAATATGTATGGAGCTGCTGTTATGTGCCAGATCTGAGCTCTGTGTTTTACATGCATTATTTTATTTACTGCTTATCATAACCCTATGACATTGTAAAATCCTAGAAGCCAGATGGTAAACAACTGTGTTTCAAATTATTTGAAAATGGAATGGGAAGAAATTAGCTTGAGGCTCCACTTGAAGGATTTAGATTAAACAGAAGAGAGACGTTTCTGACAGGGTGGTTCCAGCCTGGAATGGGTTGCCAAGACAGATGGTTGAGTTGCCTTCTCAGGAGTTTAAAATAGGACAGATAGATATTTCTCTGGTCTTTTCCACATGGCATAATCTATTGGTATTTTTGACCATTCAATAATAACTCTAACGGATAGGAGAAGGTAGATTGACACTTGATGTGATTCTGAACCTAGTGTGCTCTGGTGCTCTGGCAGGTGTGGTCCTTCGAGTGTCTGGCTGGGGTTGGCAGTTACTCCTGCCTGGGGGCAGGGATTTGAGTAGATGAAATCTCAGGGCTTCTTCTAGCTCTGTGATTTCCAGAATCTCTCAGGTTGTAATCAAAGACTTAAGGAGTTAGAGATGTGAGATAAGAAATTGTTACAGCACTAGTTTGATGATTTGGAGTAATTTTTACTAATAATGAATGCTTTAATAGCACTTTATATGCTGTAGGGGGGCTTTCCTATTCTGGGTCTTATTTGATTCTAGCATGCATCCTGCAATCAGGTGTAGCTGGGACACCAGTCTAAAGTGGACTCTTTTTTTTTTTTTAACCTGGGGGCACATGAGGTGTCCTTCAGGGACAGCTCACAGGAGTTCCCAGTTCTGCAGCGCCTGATCGTTGTATGCAGAAGCTTTCTGCTGAAAGTTCACTCTGGGGGCAGCACTCTTGGTAGGGTTTTTGCCATATGACTGGAGCCTAGGTCCATAGGAAACACACAATGTTGCCCACCAGCTCTGGACGTGCACTCCACTCCTGCGACAGCCTTTTGACTTGCTCCAGCTGGTTTTTGTAAATTGCCCAAGATTTGTGATAGAAGTAGATTTCACACCCAACACTGTCTCTGGCTGAATGGAGACTGGAGCTCCAGCCCCTGTGCTCTCTGAACTCCAGGAGGCATGTGTCACCTTGGGGTTGGGGTCTCTGGAAGCTCCTTAGGCTAGAAATGGCAAAGGCGGGGAAGAATGGGGCATGCAAGTAAGTATGCACATGCCCTCCCCAGGGAGTGCCCACAGTGGGGCAACTCTTTAAGCAGTCCCCACTCACCCATCTGCTCTTTCCAACTCTTGTCTTCATGGACATAGACTGGATAGGATCTTTGTCGTTGTTTTCAATTTAGTTGAGCTAAAATTCACAGAAACAAATTCACCATTTTGACCATTTTAAAGTATACTAATCATTGTTTATCCAACCATCACCACTCTCTAATTCTGGAATAATTTCATCACTACCCACCCCCCCCAAAAGAAACCCTGTGGCCATTAAGCAGTCACTCCTATTTCCCTCCTCCCAGCCCCTGGCAAGCACTGATTTACTTTCTCTCACTATGGATTTGTCTGCTCTGAATATTTCATATAAATGGAGTCATACAATATGCAGCCTTTTGTGTCTGGCTTCTTTCACTTAGCATAGTGTTGTCAAGGTTTGGATGGGGTTTTGGGGTTAAAGTTTGTAGGACCCATTGGGATCATCCCCTTGAAAGTCTTGCATAGTTGGTTTAGTTGCACTTGAACTTAGATGTAGGACATCTGCCCCTGCTGTTGTCAGCCTTGAGTTCCAAGGTCCCATTTGCCCACAGCCTTCAGTTATAAAAGTATTGAGCCCCTGTGTGGTTAAAGAAAGAAACCTAGCAGTCTTATGAACTGAGGAGATCTAAGTTCTACTCTTGGGCAAAAATGCTTTCATCGCTCCATAAACCCCAAGAATCAATTAAGGATATGACAATGAATGATTTCTTAGATTCCTTTTAACGTCAAAAAATTAATCTGATTTTCTGATAGCAATGTATCTGCTGTTACTCAGGCCCTAGGAAGACAGAGGGCTAGAACACAGGTACCAGCCAGTTACCGCAGATCTGAGTTTAGTTCCTCCCTCTGGGTCACTTATCCCTGCGCT